TGGCTCAAATCAAAATAAAGAATTTCAAATTGTAATTGTTGAACGTTGAATTCATTAATACATATAAGAAATTGTCCCATTCATGTTTCTACCGTGAAGCAGTTGTGTTTGCATGGCTGTCTTTCAGTTTGAAGGGTGGGATATGGCGTGAATTTACTGGGTACAGAGGAATAACATCTGAGTCCTCAGGAATAGCAACGCATGGGGGGTATCATGGACGAAACAGTATACTCTGTTATGTCCATGGTACTGCTCATGTCTATAGGCGACGGTTACCACTTTCCATCAAGTGGGCCATCAGCTTGTTTGCCATTCTATGTAGTATAAAAAAAAATAAAAAAAAAATACATTTGCCTCATATCTATAAAAAAATACAAATAAAATGTTATTTAACAAACAAAAACATATTTACGGGTTGTTTTATGACCGACTTTATTTATAGATGAAATGGAATGGTAGTAACCCTGAGCTTTGTTTACTCTAGCGGGGTACCAATGAAAAATGATAGGTGAAGATAAAGTCAGGTTCGTTTACCAGACGGGACTTTGCACAACAGTTGTCTGTTCCATTGTATTTCTTCCACTCGTGTTCTTCCGCCAAACAAGTGTGCCTGCATAGATGTTTCAGGTCGAGTGGGATATAGCATGGGATATAGCAGTCAATATATCGTCATAGTCGTAGAATACTGAATCTATATATGTAATATTTGTATATCCGTCATATTCAGACTATGACGATATGTAGATATACCAATTACAAAAGACTAACTCCTTAGTTCTTAGGAATGACAATGCATGGAGGGATACCACGATGTTACAGCATACTCTGTGATGTTCATAGTGAGGCGTCACCATTTTTAGCCGAATTAAAAAAAGAAGGAAGTTCTTAATTTACTCACACTTTCTCAATTGTTTGTTACCTCAGAACTATGCCATTTAGATACCAATTAGATTTTTTGTTTACCTAAAAGAATATGCTTCTAGATTGTCCAATAGACATTTTATCAAAATCGGTACAGTTAGTTTTGTTTTTAAATCAAAACGATTTATTTTGCCACAACCTTGCCATTCCTGAGGACTCAGGTGTTATTCATCTGTACCCAGTAAATTCACGCCATATTCTACCCTTCAAACCGAAACACAGCCATGCAAACACAACTGCTTCACGGTTGAAACACGAATGGGCCAGAGGTACCCAAGCAATCGACTTTTGTACAAAGTCTCCCTCTGATGAAATTTGGTGGTGGTGGTGATGTTCAAAGAGCGACGCTGCTGTCACTCACTCGACCACAAATCCCTCAGTCGCTACTTACGACAAACACGGGAATAGAAGGCGTAGCCTATTCTATGCCTGGATCACACGGCGAAATAGAATATATAAAAGAAAAAAAAACATTAACCATGATTAATAGCTTTTCCATATACCTACGACGCCGTAACCAATAGTCGGATATTGATTTCATCAATAGCTGTGCCAGTGAATGTAGATTAATTCGTACTTTGTCGATAAGATATTTATCGTTCGTTCGATAGAATATTAATTGCCGGTGCCGTGAAATCAAAACGAGTCGAATGTAGATTCGAGTCGAATGTAGAATAGAATTGATGGTAAAAGGGTTCACGTAACTGTTATTGTATTGAAGAATTATATTTCTCTCGTTTTTAATGTGTTAAAAATGAAATGAATAGGGCTACTGTATGTGCTATTAATATACGCTGTGGTACCAGTGAAGAATGATAGGTGAGGATGAAAGCAGGCCAGTTGGTTTCTCGTGACGAATTCAAGGATCTACCAAGATGGTTTCCAGAGATGTCGCGTGGAGGTCGACCAGCAGGACGCATTGCTAGCAATGGAATTGCTGATTCCTGATACTAAAAATTCTTTCTCGCCTTATTATTGAAGATTGTGATCACACAAGGATATCACTCTCTGCACCATCGCTCTCCAAGCCGTGCTTTTTTAGCCATCCGTATACTCGTACACCTTTGGGTATACTTTGTCCGGCAGGATTCTTCTACTGTCAGACCTTAGTAATGGTGGATTTAGCCAAAATATGACTGGGGTTCGACCAGTGTCTTATTTCAGTATCGGTTTTAAGTCGTTGACCTTACTTACTCTATGCCTCCTTTTTTACGTGGGGAAATCCTCATGGAGACCAACACGTCCTGGGGGAGGCATGTGGGTACTGCCGGACTCTTACCGGCTAAAACCATCACGTATTCCTCGGCTGTTACTTACGATAGCGTTGCAGCGGTTCCAGCGGGTTTACTATGAAATGAAATTCCGAAATTTCGGACTTAATTTCGTGTTTTTGTTTATACCAAAATCGGACCAATAAATGGAGTTTAACATTTCGTTCGTCATACGACCTATCATAAAAGTCCAAAGGAACAATATTTTAACATTTTTAATATTTCCAAACGGCATATATTATGTAATTTATAATATCAAATTTCTGTTTCGTTTGGCTCCGAAATTTCGGAAAACATTTCATGGTAGGCCCTCAGTTTATTACTAACCTAACTTGTACTCAACCCCAATATACATATAGTTTAAATGTCCAATAGAGCAGGCATCCTGCCATCCATATCACATAGCGAGAACGGGATGCCAGAACAACACATCTCTAAACAATAAAGAAAAAAAAAATAAATAGAAAATCAGCAGTCTTAAATAAAGAGGTCATATTGACGTAGCCGAAATAAACCGTTTATCAGTTTACCTACATTTTTTTATGTGCATATTAAGCGATATCGCTAATTCTGAATTCATTCTAATAATTATAATGATAATAAATCTAATAAAAAAATAAAATTCTTTATGCGATTTCTAAAATTTATTATTTTTAATTTCTAAAATTAATGTTTTTTTTTTTTTATTTTTTAATCCGATGTCTATATATACATACATATATTTATAGGATTTACTTCTATGTTAGTCCAATAGGTATGTAAATCTTTGATATATGGCTTAATCATAACTGAAACTTATTTTTTGTGCAACAAAATCCTAAATCATCATCTTTGGATAGAACTATTGATCGTTGAGTGTCCATATTTTTAATCCTCTTTTTAAAAAAGCAAGTTCTCAATTCGATTGTATTTTTTTATGTTTGTTACCTCATAACTAAGTTTTAAATCGATTTGGATTTTTTTGACGTGAAAGAATATACTTACAGTTTGGTCCCATAGAAATTTTATCAAAATCGATTCTTTAGTTTAGTTTCTCGATTAAAACAACTGATATTGTCACAAATGAAAACGGTTTTTTGCGGGACACGATATTTATACCTTTTACAAAATTGATATTATAATTTTTTTTATGCAACTTAGAGTGACAAACAAGCTGACGGCCCACCTGATGTAAAGTGGTAACCGTCGCCTATAGACATGAGCAGTACCATGGACATAACAGTACACACACATACTATTTCGCCCATGATACCCCCCATGCGTTTCCATTCCTGAGGACACAGGTGTTATTCCTCCGTACCCAGTAAATTCACGCCACATCCCACCCTTCAAACCAAAACACAGCCATGCAAACATAACTGCTTCACGGTTCATGCTGAAACACGAATGGAACACAGGTACCCAAGCAATCGACTTTCGTACAAAGTCTCCCTCTGGTGTTGTTTGGTCTGGTTTTGTTGTGAACTACAATCTTAAATTAATTATAACAGATTTATTATCTATGGCAATAATTTATATTATAATAATTGTCACTTTTAGCCGTTAAATAGATAATTTTAGAAATATTATCGCCTATAAACATGATAATAAGTATAGTGATACAATGTATGTGTCTCTACTGTTGTGCTCCCGACAGCTGCTAATATTATACTACTTAATAATGTATCATAATGTACAAAAGTCATCCGCTTGGGCACATCTGTCCCATTCGTGTTTCTACCCTAAAGCAGTTGTGTTTTTTTAATGGATGATAATGAAATGGTAACCCCACCTGCGTTGACGGTATACGCTGGCAGGACACCAATGAGAGATGATAGATAAGAATGAAAATGCTGACCAGTTAGCTCATCATGATGAATTCTGTCTGAATTGAGCAAAATGGTTTCCAGGGGATACGGAAAGAGGTCGACCTGATAGGGTATATTGATAGCAATTGGGACTAACCTTCCCATTACTAACAATCCCTTCCCCCCATTCTGGCGGGGTTAGTACTGATGGGGAATGATACATGATGAAATCGAGTTAGTTGGTCTATCATGGTGAAATTCAGAGGAAATTAACAACAATAACCGGGGGGGGGGGGGGGGGAGAGATATTGGTTTCCCCTGGATACGATCGAGATTAATTCTTGATGAATTCGTCACGATAAACTAATTATTCTGCTCTCTTTTCTCGTCTATCACGCACCAGTGTCCCGCCAGTGTATACCGATAGAGCAGGCGGGGCTACCATTCCATTTTTAACCCATAAAAACCCCTTAGTGATAAGGAAACGAGAGAAATATAATTCTCTAAACCAGAGCTATCCAAACTATGGCCCGTGGGCCACATGCGGATCGCGTCTTGAATTGATGCGGCCCGCCAAATCTTTTCTAACTACTACCAATATTTATGTCGATATTGACAGAATTGTAAATGATAAATTAACGAAAAAGTAATACAATAACAAAATAATGATAATATTTTCCGGTCCCTTAATGAATTTAGTAATTTTTATTGGCCCTAGATCCTATCTAGTTTGGACAGACCTGCTCTAAAGGTATCGACTCTAGGTATCCACTGATCTGTTCGTTTCAATAGAACTTAATAAAAATTTAACAAACGAACAATCGACGTGATCACAAGACAGTCTGATGATGCTCAATAGTAGTACAAATCAAAAATCGATTAATTCATTGTATGTATTTATTATTAACAACATAAAGAGAAAATGTTTGTGATAATTTGAACAAAACTTGGTCACTTTCTCATTAAGTCTATTGATAGTTACTATAGCTATATCTATAATGTTTTTAAACAAAATACTGACCTTCAATAGCAACGACGTGGTCACGAATTTGCTGAGCTAGCAGCGGGTCCGGCACTAACTCGACGAGATCATACAGAGCGTAAATTGAAGGATGCACACTCTCGAAACGCTGTATTTCCTGTCTTATAGACAGGGACGTGTTCAAACACGCCTGGGTATGCTGTCTGCTGCACATAGTGGACCTATAGCCCAGCATTTAGATAGCAAAACCCCCAATTAGCACACCACAACACTACACCAAATGCATTCTCATTTCAATTTTCAACGCGTGATACGTAGGTACACGCGTGATAAACTTTACCAAAACACACTCGTTTGTTTGATATATTGATATTTTATGGTAACTGTACGCAATAAACACTTGTCACAGAGAATTTCTTGGTTATGATTGCAATGTAAATAAAGTAAACATCCAATCAGCGTGCGATACACTGTGAGTAGACTATATGAACCACTCCGACAGCGGCCATTACCGAACTGGCATTCCGGCCGCGTCTCAGAGTAACCTGTCAAATCGTGCTAATATATAAATTGCGCCATCTAGCGCTACTTTGCGTTATCTCTAGTATACTAACTTTTTTAACATGATGAGAATGTTTTAGAACAGACTTATAGATGACGCTGCACAATATACACTTTTCTTGTAAGAAAAATAAGCCAAAAGCTAAATTAAATTACACATATATACATAAAATAAATACATGTAGATAAATAGAGCTTAAAAATAATAAATTATAATTCTTTATTCAAAAATTAATAATAGAAACAAATTTCAATTTTAATGTTGACAGCATCATATACTATGTTTTTTTGGGGAAAAGGATTGTTAGCAATGGAGTTTAACATTGCTAGCAATATGCCCTATCAAGTCGACCTCCACATGGTTCCCCCTGAAAACAATCGTGAACAATTCTTGTTGGATTCGTCACGATGGGCTAACTGACCTGCTTCAACCTCACCTGTCATCCATCACTGGTGCCCCGCCTGTGTATACCGATAGCGCGGGTGGGGTTACTATTCCATTATCACCCATTAAAAGTATTCAATTACTAAAAAAAATACTGTGTATTTTTTTTAATGTGTGATAATGGAATGGTACCCCACCCGCGCTATCAATCTATGCTGGCGGGGCACCAGTGAAGGATGATAGGAGGATGAATAGAGGTCAAACAGCCCATCGTGATTCATTAACTGAAATTATCACGATGGTTTCCAGGGGGAACCACGTGGAGGCATATTGCTAGCAATGGGAATGTCAAACTCCATTGCTAACAATCCCTTTCCCCCCTTATACTATGTATTATAATATAGGTATTCAATTACAATATGCGACTGTGGTTGTAAGTTCGAATCTAATCAACACTAAAAGTTTGTATCAAATTAAATTTCCTAACAAATGTCCTGATATACACCGTCAACGTGGCAGACGGAGAACTTATCTACCTACAGCCATCTATTGAATGAATTATGTACATTCATAATTAATTCAGACGATGCCTCTACGTTCCCGTTACGTTACGCTCTATTTAAATATTTTTGATGATACTTGTATTGATCAGTGATTTGCGGGCAATTGAATGTTACCCATATATACATAATTTTTTTTTTGATGGGTGAAAATGGTATGGTAACCGTAAAAGCATGCGCTAACGGGATACGCTGGCGAAGCACCAGTGAAGGGTGATCGATGAGAATGAAAACAGGCCAGTTAGCCCATCATGATGAATTCATCAGGAATTAACGATGATAGTTTCCAGGACCGCGAGGAGGTATATACATAATTAATTCACAAGAAAATTCGTCGTTCGAAATTTGGTAAGGGTATCCCAAATCTAAATACTGTGGTAATGCTTCTTTAATGGAATGATAATGGAATGGTAACCCCGCGGGCGCTATCAATCTATGCTGGCGGGGCACCAGTGAGTTATGTCATGAGAATGAATAGAGGTCAAACAGTCCTTCGTGATTCATTAACCTGGATTTAACCACGATGGTTTCCAGGGGGCACTACGTGGAGGTCGACCTGTTAGGGTATATTGTTAGCAATGGAGCTGTTAGACCCCATTACTAACCATCCCTTTCCCCCCAATATATAGATATTGCTATATATTATCTACCCCAATCTACAAGTAAATAACAGCTCATTATATTGTCAAGTCATGTACCTAACGTTTACTCAGAAGGTAGGTAAGACAATATTTGTTGAACAAACCCAGTATCCAATATATATGCATAAGCACAATTTCCACGGAGATAACAGACAAAGCGCTACATGATTGTGAACCGTATTCCATTGCAGTAAGTCTCAATGTTGCTTCTATCGCTCTTATTACATCTTATTCGAAAATTAAATGCCAGAACGGCATGATAAATAAAATTATACTTGTATTTTCATTTAATTTCGTTTACCACAATCATACTCGTATATAATCTTTAATAAAAATAATGCAATATAATTACATCATTTTTCAAAATTCAACCCCTGTGTTAAAAAAAAATGAAGTAAAAAGAAATGCCCTAACTGACTCATCAATGCACAGCCGAAAGTACTAAAACTAGAAATACTAAATTTAGACAGTAGTTTCCCCTTATAACTAAGCAATAAAGAGAGTATTTTTCAAAATTCGGCTCCTAAGGTATAAGTAAAATATATATATTTGTATGAGAATATATATATTTTTTAATCGATTGTCTTGAAATTTATCATTTTTTTATTTAAAATAATGGAATTTAAATTCAGCAATTCTCAAAATTCATCCTTTTATTTTATTAAGTAAAGGATGATGTCGTTTTTTAACTTACGTTTCTTGGTAGCTGCAATCACATCTTTTTTGAGGGTTGGATTCTAGTCTACTTAAACGGCTGAATGGATTTGAATGAAATTTGGCACACGGGTAAGTTATATCATAATTTAACAAATAGCATAATTCATACATGAATGCACTCAGGTGCAAAGCTGCAGAAAACAGCTAGTTTTTAATGAATCATCAAGTTAACTGTCCACTGCAGAACTGCTTTCCCTATAAGAGGGGTTTGTAAGTAGTTGCCGCGCTTGGCAGGCAGTTTAGCAATTATAAAAAAGCTTTGGTAATCTATTTAAATAAATAATTTAAGGGAATTTTCATTTTCAGCGTGAAACTGTGCCCATATTACCTGACTTAGTAATATATACTACAATAAATCTTATTTTCTTGCCCGCATTACGAGAATTGCGTAAAAGGTTTCGCTGTGGACACATCGCCCGTAGTCTGCCGCTTTAGGGTTAGAACACGTTAGATGCGATTTAAAGGAAATTGTATTTTGAACATTTTTATTTATAATTATTGAAATTGCCAAGCAATTTACTACTTAATTAAATATTTATGTTAAGATATTATTATGGTTGAAGCATTTAAAATATTATTTCTTTCCCTTAGATATGATATGTTATTATTATTATATAGCATATTATAAAAAAAATAATAAAATAATATTATATATATATATATATATATATATATATATATATATATATATATATATATATATATATATATATATATATATATATATAATATTATTTGTATAATAATATAATTGTTGTGTGACTAAAAAATATCGAAGTGGGCGGAGGAGGTTAAAATAACACATAAGAAATTAATATTATTCATATATACTACATATATATAATAAAATTTTAATTAGACAATGTCTGTTTGTGTATTTAATGTCAATGTCTGTGTTATTAATTTAAATTAATTTAATTTCAAACTGTTTATAATTACTTCTCTCCATCCAAAGGTTGCCTGGAAGAGATCGCTTTTAGCGATAAGGTCGCCCATTGTTTTCTCACTGTGATTATTTCTTGTAATTTGTTTGTATCTACTCGTATAATAAATTTACTATTGTAATCTTTTGGAGGAAACAATAAAGAATATCTATCCATCTATCTATCTATCCTTCTATCTATCTGTACATAGATGATGTTTAAAACAAATTAATAGGAGTAATAAAAACTAAAACTGTATATTTTGAATGTCTGTCTATCTGTTCGTTTTGGCATCACGCAATAACTATTGCACTAAATTGGATGTGATTTTAACAGATTTATTCCTAAAGATCTAATGTAAAACATGGTAACTTAAATCACACAAAGTTGCGTTGAAAAGCTAGTATGTCATAAATTTATATGTTTAGTGCCTGTTGATATTATTAATAATTTGTATCTCTCACTGGCGAGACACAAGTGAGAGATGATGCGTAAGGATACAAGCTGCTCAGGTAGCCCATCATGACGAGTTCCACGAGAAATAACCACGATTATTTCCTATGATAGTATATTGCTAACAACAGCTTTAATATCTCATTACTGACAAATTATTTGCTTCCAGTGGGTGAGATTGAAAAAGAAGATAGACTGGTTATTATTTCTGGTCCAATATAAAGTTGCAGCGAAAAAGGATTGTTAGTTATAGGTCTCAAAGCTCAACAGCATAGCTAGCAAACCGCTTCATTATGTCCACCTCTACATGGTCCTCACTGGAAACCATCGTGGTTAATTCTTGTTGTATTCATCACGATCGACCAACTGGCCTGCTTTCATGCTAGGTAAGGACCTATTAAGCCTGGCTAGTACTCCGCCAAGCGTATACAGATAGCGCAGGCGGGGTTACATTTCAATTCCAGCCATTGTAATATAAAATCGCCAATCGCTTCCTACTGTGGTCAGAGGCTAATACAACCGTGCAATCTGGGCCGTACACTATTTATTGGCACATTTATTACGCTTACTACGTGTTTAATCTAAGTTGAAAGTTAATGAATTTATTCACTGATGAAGTGGAACTACTGATGCGTAGCAGTTTCAAACCGACTTCGAAGGGGGGAGAAGGGATTTTTAGTAATGGGGATAAGTAGCCCCATTGCTAGTAAAATACCCTGTCAGGTCGACCTCCTCGTGGTTCCCCCTGGAAACCATCGTGAACAATTCTTGTTGAATTCGTTACTAGCAATATTGCTAGCAATGGGGCTGTCAAACGTTTCTTTAGGGTTGGCAACGCGCGTAATACCCTTGATATTACAAGCGTTCATTAGCTATAGTAATCGGTTGCCATCAGATGGACTATATGCTTGTTTGCCACCTCAGTGGCATAGAAAATTTTTTATACGTAATAATTGAAACTTGGTGGACCATTCTAGTACAGCAAACTCAGAATGTTTTGACCTTTTTCGATTAATGTTTCTTTGCGAAAAATATTTGTTTTCTCTAGTAGAATATTCCATAATGATGTCTAGCGCACCCTGTATATATACTGTGCTTCCCAAACATTACATTCATCATCCTCAGTGGTAACACACTGAATTATTCATTCGTTACCATAGTCTTCGTTTGTTAAGTTTGATGATAAATAAATGCTCTAACTTCGCCTCTTGTTTGTGAATAACAGGAAATTATGTGCCATGTTCGTACATAGTAAACTTTATGGGGGAGACTTGTTTGAAGCTATGGTAAATTATACTCTATAGATATTTGCAAATCTACGTTTAGAGGTTAAGTAATGGGAACTACCAGTTTACTATTTTTTTTTTATGGGTGAAAATGGTATGGTGACTCCGCCTGCGCTAACGGGATACGCTGGCGGATATACAGTGAAGGCTGATAGATGAGAATGAAAACAGGTCAGTTAGCCCATCATGATGAATTTATCAGGAATTAACCATGATAGTTTCCAGGAGGACCCGCGAGGAGGTCGACCTGGTTGGGTATATTGCTAGCAATAGGATTCTCAGTCTCCATTACTAACAATCCCTTTCCCCCTAACCAGTCTACTATTAGGAATATTTAAATTCACGATAGGGACTTAACACTATGCTATAGGTAAGTAAGAGAGGTATGTACTTAGATAGATAGATAGATACTCTTTATTGTTTCCTCCAAAAGATTACAATAGTAAATTTATTATAAATACAAATAATTATAGGAAAATATTACACTGAGAAAACAATGGGTGACCTTATCATTAAAAGCGATCTCTTCCAGACAACTTTTGGATGGAGACGAGTAATTATAAACAGTTTGATCCTTACCTGATTTTTATTGCGGAAATTAAACATGTAAGTACTATTTGGTAAATAAGTGTATGTTTGTCGTGTGATCCCGGTATAGAATGAGCCACTTTTTTTTTATACAACTTAGAATGGCAAACATGCTGACGGCCCACCTGATGGAAAATGGTAACCGTCGCCTATAGACATGAGCAGTACCATGGACATAACAGAGTATACTGTTTCGCCCATGATACCTCCATGCGTTGCCATTCCTGAGAACTCAGATGTTATTCCTCTGTACCCAGTAAATTCACGCCATATCAAATCATATCACCCTTCAAATCGAAACACAGCCATGCAAACACAATCTAAATTTGCCAATCTGCTTACCTAACGTGGCAACTATTGGCAAAACCCCCCATTATGAGGGTAACCTATGTTCAGCTGATGTGATGATGTTGATGGTATGCCATTGTATATCAATCTCAGTAGTTTAAAAATGGGGGGAAAGGGATTGTTAGCAATGGAGTTTGACAGCCCAATTGCTAGCAATGTGTCCTAATAGATAGGCCTCCACGTGGTACCATCTGGAAACCATCATGAACAATTCTTGTTGAATTCGTCACGATGGGCTAACTGACCTGCTTCATCCTCACCTATCATCCTTCACTGGTGCCCCGCCGGTGTATACCGATAGCGCTGGTGGGGTTACCATTCCATTATCACTCATTAAAAAAAAGAACGTAGTCTAAAAAACTATAAAATTTAAAACCCGACAAAAATGAATCCTTATAATACCACCATTAAGTTATTTATTTGTGATACGGTAAACATTAATAATGACGTAAGTGGTAATTGTGTAACTATATATTTGAAGATGTAACGTAAATATTGCATACGATTATATGAGATAACTGAAATTTAGTAGAGTAAAAGATACCACGTATCTAAATTATGCAATTATATATTTACTATTATTATTATTGAGGAATGTTATTTTTCTGGTAAAAAAAAAAACCTGTGACACTGCGACAACAACACCCTTATGTATGTTTCATTCTCATCTATCACCCTTCACTGGTGCCTCGCCAGCGTATCCCGTTAGCGCAGGCGGGGTCACCATACCATTTTCATCCATATCTGATATGATTGATGATGATGATATATACTAATGTTTACCGATATGATTCTATTTTTAAAATAAGTAAACAATTTCTGGCAAATTTTTGTAGTTTTACTAGCTACCCTTCAAATGAAAACGGCAGCAACAACTGCTAGAAAAAATCCCAACTCGAACACATTATATTTATATGTGTTTATGAATGTCTGTATGTATATAATTACTTTTTTTTTTTACAACACAGGGGGCAAACGAGCATGCGACTCACCTGATGGTAAGTGACTACCGCCGCCCATGATCACCCACAACACCAGCGGCATTGCAGATGTGCTGCCGGCCTTTTAAAAAGGAATATACTCTTTTCTCGAAGGTTATATTGTCGTATCGGTTCGGAAATACTGCTGCTGGTAGTTGATTCCAAAGAATGGTTGTGCGTGGAGGAAAGTGCCTTGAAAAACGCACGGTGGAGGACCGCCACTCGTCCAGATGGTTGGGATGAGACTTTAGTTTATGGCGGGTTGTACGGTGGTGAAAATCAGCAGCAGATATCAATCCGAACAATTCCACAGAACACTCCCCATGATAAATTCGGTAGAAGATAGTGTCTGTATGTATGTAATTACTATCTTATACTAAAAATTTTTTTTTTAAACCGCCATCGAATAACTCTAAACATCCTAAAGGTTGACTGGTAGAGAATGCCTATACCATTAAGTCCGCCTTTTGTACCACATGGTATTGATCAATAAAGCTTAAATAAATATAATATAATAATTCCTTTACTTCTCAAATAAAAAAAAAGAATAAAAAGACAAGCGAACCGTATCTCATACAGTAGCTTGAATAAACAACGCTCCGCAATCAAAATACTGTATCAAACACTTTCCCGCTCGACGCGACCGCGACGCCACCAGTGTGTTAGCGTGTGCCGCTTGTACCGCGCGCCGTGTCGGTTCGCTGTCCGCGCGATACCAATTGTTCGTATGACCCGAGTAATTGTGCACCATGTCTAAAGTCAAGGTAATGGAATTGATAGTGTCATTAGCGAACAAAAGTTTGGTGATATTTGTGTTGTAAAGTTTCGCCTATGTTTTTGTTTATAATTGTGTTTGTGTTCGTACAATGTTTTCATCTTGTATGGGATGTATTATACGTTTTATTATCTCTTATAGGTATTTAATTGGTATAAGTTTTATGTTTATTTTGTTTGGCAATGGTGATATGAGACGTGATATGTTTACCTATATGTTTTTTGTATTAGATACTTTATATACTTCGTGGTACCATACTTGTATTGCGAACAAGACTAATAAATTCTATTTTCAATGTTTAAATATCCTGATGTGTTACTTCCGATATTATATATATATATATATATATATATATATATATATATATATATATATATATATATATATATATATATATATATATATATATATATATATATATATATATATATATATATATATATATATATATATATATATTATACATTAATCAATAGTAAAATTGTTTCAATAATTTAAAATTACATTTCATAAAACACAATCTTGAATTCAGATAAAATTAATATGGGACCAATATATAGAGTCGGGGGGAAAAGGATTGTTAGTAATGGAGACTTAAATCCCATCCAATCCCAAAATGAGAATCCCATTGCTAGGAATATAGCTATAACCCAATCAGGTCGACCTCCTCGCGGTCCCTGCAAACTATCATGGTTAATTCCTGATGAATTCATCATGATGCGCTAACTGGCCTGTTTTCATTCTCATCTATCACCCTTCACTGGTGCTCCGCCAGCGTATCCCGTTAACGCAGGCGGGGTTACCATACCATTTTCACCCATGAAAAAAAAACTATATAGAATCCTATCAATTACAAAAAATAAAATCATAACTAGAAAATATGTCCCGTATTCAAAATATACTGTAGAAGCGAAAAATTTCTTTACTTTGGAATACAAATAAACACAAGTTATGAAATTTAAGGGAACTCCGCGGCTTCACTCGCACGGAACTTTTTTATCTCCAATAGGAATTTCCGTGTCAAATATATCTTATTTACTCACAGATAGTTCACTGCATGGTATATATGTGTATTAGTGATATAATCTATAGAAACGGTTCAATAATTCCAGATATAATCACTAAGATACAAAGCAGATTGTAGAATTCGAATTACGTTGAAGCGTTACGTACAATGAGAGTTCAGTTTATTATTATTATTTAGAGAATTATTCAGAATCAATCTCTATTATAATTCAATACATTGCTAAATCGATAGATTCCTTTTATTTCATTTGAGAATGCTGTTACGTCGGGGGAAAGGGATTGTTAGTAATGGAGATTGAGAATCCCATTGCTAGCAATATACCCAACCAGGTCGACCCCTCGCGGTTCTCCCTGGAAACTATCATGGTTAATTCCTGATGAATTCATCATGATGGACTAACTGGCCTGTTTTCATTCTCATCTATCATTCTTCACTGGTGCTCCGCCAGTGTATCCCGTTAGCGCAGGCGGGGTTACCATACCATTTTCACCCATAAAAAAAATACTGTTACGTCACGACCTGTAAATAATAATAAGAAAATCAATTGAGATCACAAGAGTCACTACTTTCAATTGGTGAATATATGTATTGTTTTATTTAAAACAAAAATCGATTTGTATTTTAATATATTAATTTAAGATTGTGTTCCATAGAAAAAAAAAAACTTTTTATGGCAAAAGTAGTTATTTTGATTTATAACTTAAACTACATAACCGATTTTCATTAAATATCTATGGAACCAATTCGAAAGTATATTATTTCAGATTACAATCGAATTTTCCAAATCAGTTTATAACTCATGGAGTTATAAGCCATTAAACATAAAAAATACGATAAAATGGTCAATTTTTAAAAGTCCGTTGAAAATATTTTGCATCAGTAGTTCCACTTTGTGTGAATAAATAAGGTTTCATCAATGAACAATTTCAGTTAGATTTTGAGACACTCGTTCTTTTGAAAAAAAAAATTACTGAAAGAGAATTCTTTTAGCACTAAGTCCGCCTTATACACATACATATAACTAATTAATAAATAAAAAACTGCCCCTATTAAATAGAGAAAAACTTTTTTGAAGTTGGTCACCTGACTCTTCAGGAATGGCAACGCATGGGAGGTATCATGGGCGAAACAATATACTCTGTTATGTCCATGGCACTGCTCATGTCTATAGGCGACGGTTACCACTTTCCATCAGGTGGGCGGTCAGCTTGTTTGCCATTCTAAGTTGTATAAAATACTGTATTAGATAGGCACTTATATAAAAAAAATTCTAACGACTGCGCTCAAAACTGTAATCCTTTGTAGAGTAGTCAGAGCCAACGCATGGGGGGTATCATGGGCGAAACAGTATACTCTGTTATGTCCATGGTACTGCTCATGTCTATAAGCGACGGTTACCACTTTCCATCACGTTGTTGACTGTTGCCACATATTAAACGAATTAATTTAAATTAAAATTTATAATGTTTATATACTAAATCACAAGTAGGTAGCTATCTGCAAGTCTGAGGTCACACAATTACTATTTCGCAATCAAATTTTAAATATTTGCAAAGATTAAAACGACGCGTCATGAAGCTTAATAACTAATTCGTGTTACGTCTTCATTCTGCTTGGAAATTGTTTATCAAAATTGCGGGTACAACTTTTTAAATTACAGGTATACCTAATTGGAACATACTTATTATATTTATTTATTTATTCATTAGTACATATATGTGTACATGGCGGACTTAATGCTAAAAGCATTCTCTCCCAGTCAACCATAAGAAAGTGTCAGAATACTCGAATGCGGTACTACTAATTTATTGATAGACATACGTACTAAAATTACATATATAAACGAATAAATATATATGAATAACAAATATACTTACACATATATGATATATACTATATTATACACGCAATTGAGAATAATATAAAGCACTTACTGCTCGGATAAAGATAAAAAATGAGCGTGAATGCTTTTTTTGAAAGACGATTTAGTCGGTAGTCTCTTAATGGTATCAGGAAACACGTTCCAGAGTCGTGAAGAATGTAAGAGAAAAGAGGAATGGTAACCCTGCCCACGCTATCAGTATACACTGGCGAGATACCAGTTTTTTTTCCATGAATGATAATGGAATGGTAACCCCGTCTGCGCTTTCGGTATACACTAGCGGGGCACCAGTGAGGGATGATTGGCGAAGGTGAAAAGGCAGGTCAGTTAGCCCATCGTGACGAATTCAACGATACATTTGTCACGATGGTTTACAGGGAGAACCGCGTGGAGGTCGACGTGATAAGGTATATTGGTAGCAATGGGGACTAACCTCCCCATTACTAACAATTCTTTCTCCCCCGGCGGAACACCTGTGGAAGATGATAGGTGAGAATGAATGCAAGCCAGTCGGCCCACCATAACGAATTCGGTAACCATGATGGTGTCCAAGGGGAACCGCGTGAAGGTCGACCTGAGAGGGTTTATTGCTAGCAATCGGGCTATTAGATCTCATTACTAACAATCCCTTTCCCCCCGAATACAAGTGTCACTATTCCTTTTCAATCCCAGGGTGTCGTACGTTTATTTTGTATTACAGAATCTTCGGTTATTTATTTAACTCTTTATTGCACCAATAAACAATGACATATAAACGATTCAACTGATATACATGGAGTACAGATCAAAATATACATTTTAATTTATTGGAGCATAATTTACTTTTTTTTAAATTACATAAGTAATTGACAAAAACTATTATTACTAAAAATGCGATAACTTAATTTAGTTTTTAATCTGTATCTCAAATGTACTTAAATTTATACTTATAATAAATCTGTAGAGAGATCAATTCTGTACATGAAATATATTTCCAAAATAACTATCAGGGGGTGATTAGTGATCGATACTGATGCCAAAAATGAAATCAGTAAAATTTTTGTCTGGCTGTCTGTTATATTCGTTATAGAAACAAAAACTACTCGACGGGTTTTAACGAAACTTGGTACTTCTTTATACTCCTGGGCAGGTTATAGTATACTTTTCATCACGCTACGATAAATAGGAGCAGAGCAGTGAAGGGAAATGTTAAAAATGTCCACCCGTGCGACGCCGGGACGGGTCGCTAGTTAGTAAATAAGTTTAAGCGCACCCTAATATATTTACATACTTAGTAATGACCAATTGGATTAATTAAATCTGAAATTACTCTTGGCTATGTAATCATTCAGTTTTCTATTGACCGACGTGGTTGGACGATACTCCCGCATGATTCAATGACTTGATTGTAGGCCCACAGCGAGTCACATATTTTTTAATGGTTGATTGTTCTAATTAGGCAGCTTTTGCGCCTTCTGTTTTCTTTTATTACGACTATTTATGTTACATTGTTTGTTCAAATGAGATTTTTTTATATGGGACTGTTCGTTAAGATTGTGAAATTTGTTTTCAATGTTTCTTTGTTTTATAATTTTAAATAGATTCATATCTGACTGATATATATATATATATATATATATATATATATATATATATATATATATATATATATATATATATATATATATATAATTGTAACTGGACAATGTCTTTACATGAGAAATATTTAAGAAAAATGTATATGAGGCGTCTTAGTAAGAATAGGAGAAGCTAAAACAATTATTTTTTAAAAAAAAAAATTGTCCGCGTCTTTATCTGTATCTTATCCGGTATCACTTAAAAACTACTGTACCAAATTGTATGCGATTTTCACAATTGTGTTCCTGAAAGTCTAACTTAAAGTTTCATATTAGTTTTGCCTTGACACATAACTTAGAAGTGCTTTATTTAATTGGTCTTCCTCCTTTTGAAATCCACGCGTACGAAGTGGCGGGAAAGAAGCCACTTGAAAATAAACTTGAAACAATTTTTAATGGCTTTCAAGCTGGGATGATAAAAAGTTGTAATCGTTTTTAGAAGACATGGACAGTAGGGGTGGGTA